GGTGCCGGGACCAGCCCCTACCCATCAAAGAGTCCTTCAGAACTGGCAACAACAGAACGTGATAGTACATCTTCAAGCAAATGAAGACACTTCTAAAGCTGTTCCAGAGGAGAATTTGCTCAAAGAAGCTCGTGAGAAGCGCTCAGGAGATTTGGAGATGATGGGAGATGACAATATAGAAGATTCTAGAGCACGGTAGGAGTTTTTGGTTATTAAGTGAATACTTTAGTCTAGATTAACTTATTATACCTAACTCTCATTTTGTGCTAAATAAGTGTTATAGTAGCTCTGAGTTTGTGAGCAGCCAATCAGGGTCCTCAAGAAACCCTGAAAGAACACTGTAATCACACATATTGTTTTGTTAATTAATGGGGAGTTGTTTTTCCTATGGTAGGCTTACTTCCATTACATTCCCAATTCATTCAGAATTCTCTTTCGGTTTTAAGAGACATTTCTTAAATTACTAACCTTTGTAGATATCTTCAACAGCTGTTCCACCAGTGAGGATTGTTTTGATGAGAGCATTAAATCAGAACTCTTTCTGATTTTGTGAGCAAGGCTAACTTTGGCAAAGATAAATCTAAGTTTCAGCTGCTGAGTGTATCCTTGTTTACTATTTAGGAAGTAGTAATAGTTTTTAATTGTGTTTCTTTTGAAGTAAGAATCTATAAAATTCCTTGGCAATTGAGAGTCAGTCATTTCAAGTAGCATTACTTCCACAGCAATTTTGTAAACATAGAAATATTCATCAGGCAAATAATAAAAAGCAGCTCACACCAGGCGAATCTTAAAATAGGAAATTCCAAGAATTTCAAGACGTTAAAATGAGCTAAACAAAAAACAAAATGTGTGTTTTGGTGTAGAATTCTTACTACATGTGATTCTTATCCAAACTTGCTTTCATCAGTAAAGTTTGAATGGAAGAAATGTCTATTGTATCATCTAGTACTGTCAAGTATAATTAAACCTAGTGCATTGCTCAGTTTTTGTATTGCCATTACAAATTTTATAATTCTAATTTGGTTAAGTTGTAACTGATTTTGGTATTGAGAATTAAAGAACCCACTTTGATGTGTTGAAAAATCACATACTGACCTAAAATGAAACTATACTAACTTCTTTGGAAATCTAGATGCTTGACAGTGTGTTCCTGTTAAGGACTGTGATATTTTCCTCATCATGTGGGTTTGTTCACTATATTTAGAAAATGCAGTCTTATTTCCATGATTTCAAAGCAGAATATCCATGGAAAATGAATTATATCAACATTATGATAGAAAAAATCACATGCAAAATGACAGCTTAAAAGGAACTTGGTCTTAATGAAATGTAAACTTGGAAAAAATTTGTGAAATGAATTTAGGCACAATATTTGATCACCTGGAACATAGATCTTTTAAGATATCAAGTGTTTATTTGGGAGCATATATATATTTCTTTTTCTAAAGAAAACTATCACTATTAAGATTGAAAACTGAATTTAGCATAAATAAAAGACTTTTTGAATAACATAGAATTAGTGTTTTATCAATTCAAAACACTTTGCTGGAATTACTTTCATAATTTTTAAATGAAAAATTGAAGGTTATGGGATATATTTAACTCTGCTATATACGAACTTTAAAAATCCACTGTTGTTTCTTAAGAAAATTCTTTGGGTATCTGGGAATAAAACTGAAAAGAATAGAAATGAGTCAAATAACTTAGATGCTAGAAGAAAATGACAGACAATTGCCCGGTCTAAAACATCACCAGATGATTTTGCTTATGGTTTTGACATTCCTTATGTTCCAAAGAATTTTTTCTGATAATTAAATTTTCATAGGAAAGTTAGTATTTTCTTAAAATAACACAGGAAATATTTATACGCATGCCAAAACTATAAACCAAGAAGGGGAGGACTAAATTCAGGAGCTTATTAGTTAAAATGTTATGTCTTATTATCCTCTTATCACCTATTAGAAATTTCCATGTTTTGTTTCAAGAGAGTTCAAAGAAAAGCTTTAGGATTTCTAGGTCCTTTAATTTTCTCTTCTGTAGCAAGACTGCACAACTATAGAAAAAGTCTGTGATACACTGGCCAAAGCCTCCCATATCCTTGATACAATTCCTTTGACTAAAATGAAATCTAATAAACCAAAAACAGTAATCAGTATAGACATCCCCAAACTAACATGGGTGAACTCTGATACCTCAGCAAAGAATGCTTTCTAAGACATTCTGCTTTCTGTAAATATTATAAAAAATGAATCCATAATGAGCTACTTTATAAATGTACATTATAACAAAATAAGACAAAAATAATTCCTCAAAGATATTAAGTCACTGTGTCAAAGTTTTATTAATATATTGACATAATGATTTAAAAACTCAAATGTATGCTTACAAGTTTAAATCACAAGTATACAGCATATTTAAGAATTGCTATCATATGTTTAATTACTATGAAGATGCATATATCAATATTACCATCATCAAAGTTCTAAATTCTTTTGTCATTTGATTTTTATGACAGTTAGCTGCCATCTCTGCATCTTTCCTTTTGTGTAACTGCCTAGTTCAAGAAAATGTTTTCTCTTCTTTGTTTTAACCATAAAGTTCCAATGATAAACATTTTAATACTACATTATTATCGTGTTAAGTGATATGATATTTAACTGTAACCATAGCTAATTACTCCTAAATAAATAATTGTATTAGTGTTTAGGTGGAAATCAAAGTGTTAATATTAATCCACACTGTACTAAACAGCATTTATTGAATAAAATGAATGTGACATATTTATGGTACCAACACACATGTTTATGGTACCAATATACACCATAGTAGAAAGCTTCCAGTTAAAGAGCTATTTAGTTTAAAGACACAAAATGTATGAGGATCATGCTGCTGTCCTGTTGGACTTGGAAGGCTTTGAAAAACTGACAATTGTCCAGATGTATTAATCTGTATATATTTCTAGTTTGGGAGTATGAGGTGAGACTCAAAATTCTGTCTTCAGTGAGCACTTTCTATTTTTCAAGTGAAATTTACAATGAAAAATTGTAGCTGTCATTGTAAATATCAAAATAGAATAGGAAATGGGAACTGTATTAACATAATTTTTCAATAAGTAAGTCCACAAATATTGATTATCCATCATGTCAGGAATTCTTCTAGGTGTTAGGAGTAAAATGGAATCAAAAGAAATAACCCATTTTTATAACATATACATATTATGACTTATATTCATACACAGAGAGGAAAAGAGGGGATATATGAACCAAAACATAAATTTTAAATGGCTACAAATGGTCTTAAAGAAAACCAAAGGAGATAGAGTAGAATAGGTTTTTCGTCAGACAGTGGCAGTTTTTCTGAAGCAATGACAGTTGGGCAGAGAGATTTAAATGCAGCCAAAGAAGAAGGTAAGCTTCTCTTTAACAAATGTGAGGCAAGTGAGAGGTCACTGCCCCTGTCCCACGGGAGAGTCCTTAACTACTATACACCACTTCTTTTCTGTGCAAATTAGTACTACATGTCCCCACACAACCTATTGGACCATGAACAAAACATCCTCAGATTAACTGGTGAACTAAAATGTTCACATTGCACTTTTTACTGTGGTGACTTTATGATCACAATCATGTCTTTTGGACACTGAGGTGACTTCTCAGCCATCCTGTAAACTTGGTGGCATTGCACACACTATGACTCATGCACAGAGGCCTATGCCCTTTGCAGGAAACATAAACATGACAGTTTTTTTGAAATATTCATATAGAGACCAATTCAGTATGGGCTTGGTCCAAGCCCATCTGTAATATGGAATCTACTTGGAAAATATTTAAGCATAAGGAAAAACCTGAACTGGTCATGATGAAACTTATTCTAATATTCTTTCAAATACAATAAAGAAGCAGCTGTATAGTATTTACAGGAAGGCGCCCAGAAAGTACAAGAGTAATTTCAATGACCCTGTGCCTGAAAACCAGTGCATTGTAGTGTGCTCAACAGAAACAGAGATGAGAGGTTTTGGAAGGTAATACTAATAGGATAATACTAATGCAAAAATGAGAGGGATTTCAAAATGTCGTTGTTATCTTTATTTCTGGGCATGAAACATGTTTTAAGAAACCAGTTTTAGATGTGCAAGTGAGTGTTATATCAAAAAGCAAAAAATATGTCTTTTAATACCTCATTAGTATAAGATTCCTTTTAAATAAATATAAGTTGCAGGATAGCATGATGTGTGTATAAAACATCACCAGTATGGTCCACAGGAGCATGATAAGTATCTGTGAGAGAAAATAATTTACCTTTCATCTATTAAAAGTTATTTCAACTTATAAATTACACATTTTTATATGCACTAGAAACAAATTTTCATGTTAAGCAAATGGCAGTTTGAAAACTAAAGGATTATTTGGGCACAAAAGAGGAAGCAAAAAGAAAAATGGTAGTTTTTTAAAAACTGATAGGTAAAAATTATTTACCATTTCTCATTTTACAATGGATATTATAACTATTTATTTTGAATGCCTAGTTCAGTGCCTAAAAATATAGTGAGATTGAATTGATCAGTCCAATTTCGCCCTGAAATAGAATATCTTCTTTCCTTAATAAGAAATTGCACTCTTGTAATTTGTTCTCATACAATCAAAATAAAATGTATTTGTTATCTGGGGTAATATGCATGGTACATGTTTTTAAAACACACAAAAATACATGGATATTTTTATTTAAAAAAAGCAATACTAGAATATGTCCGAAGCAGCAGTAAGTGCCTCACTATTTTGTTTCCCATCCTTTATTCACATAAACTTATTCTAAGGAGTTCAAAGGATTAATAATATATAACATTTGGATACTTTAGGGTTAAAAACTTCGTTGATTTTGTCAATGGTGCTTCAGCTAGCAATTCAACTCTTAAAGTGACCATGATCCTTAAAATTCAGGTTCCTTTGCTGGTAATAAAACTTTTTGGAAAACAAAAGCATTTTTTATGTTAACAATACTTGGAAATTCTCAGCTATGAAAGTATAATTTATAGCAAATGGACAGGCTGTCAACTGGTGCTGATGTGGCATACCTGAATGCTATATTATTTCAACATCTACTCTATTCCAGGAACAAACACACACACACACACACACACACACACACACACACAGAGAGAGAGAGAGAGAGAAAGAGAGAGAGAGAGAGAGAGAGAG